ATACAGTTATAGCGTGTTCGTAACCCGCGTCATAATCTTGTCAAGAACGTTGGGAGTTGCGTGTAAGCGGTCTCAGAGCAATTGGTAGCTACGGGGGTAGCCATTGCACGTTCGTTGCGATAGAGAAGAGTCTTCCAGTGCATCCTTCCCCCGCACTCTGTTCGCGCTACCCTACTTGCTGAAACGCAAGACCGGCGTCTCCTGTCGATCGAGGGGTAGGCGAGCGCGAGCAAGAGGGAGTTTCATTTAAGTTAGAAATTGCTTCTTCCGTAGCGATGATGGGCCGCAAATTGGGCGCGAAACAGAACGCGAAGGAGAGGAGTCTCGAACGCGGACGAGATGACGAGAGACGAGACGACGAGAGGGCGCGACGGAACAAGAGAGATGCGTGAATGAAAGAAAGTATCGATTTTTTATTTATTCGCCTGTCTAGCGAAAATATAGTCAGCGCGAATGACGGACCTAGCTGCAATTTGAAAAAACAGCATCGTGATATTGTAATATAGTATCGCTGCTGGAATGAGTCGCGCTGGAGTTTATCACGCGATGCAACGATGAGACGTCGTCAGTTGTAGGATCAAACGAAGTGTTAACAAGCGTCTAACCCATCAGAGCAGAACTGATCGTTACGGAGATATTCGCGATGATAGACGCTCGTTAATGCGAGGCGACACAGATGAAATCCGATATTCTATATGAGTAACAGAGGACATTTTTTTGTGTATCAAAGTGCCCAGTCATTCTTCGATATAACGAGCCGTGATTATCAGAACGGCGACAAAAGCCTGCGTTACTAAAGGATATTTGATAAATTGTCGTGCGCGACGCTATCACCGGTGTGTAAATATAATCGTAAAATACGTTGATAAGACATGAAGAGCAATAACGTTCAGTAATAATTTTAAAAAATTGATAAAGTGCTATAAAAATTATTTATCTATTTAATTATAATTATTGTAGTGTATAAAGACGAATTTTGTCGAGAGAAAAATCCATACAGTAGAGAGAGGGTGGGAGCACTAAGAAGTTTATAACACGTAAAGGAGAATTTTCGGAAGGTACGACGGGAGTTCTTTCTTCATGTGAATATCGGAGGAAACTACGTGGATTAGAGTGCACGACCGGAATTTTGCGGTGAAATCCATTTCTATGCCGGAACTATGACCGACCCAGGAGGGCTTTCAACCAGTACGAATGAATACCCCGAAGAGGGGATTACTTCCGTCTCATTAACGTGACTCGCGATTCCGCGCGCGGTGGAATTGAGAAATTCGTCACGCCCGCCGCTCGTACAAACTGACGAAAATCCTAATTCATTCGGCATTCGACGATGAAAACGACGATTGCGCCGACTGTTAATCAGAGAATGATGTAACATGGTTCATTTTGTGGTCGTCTTTCGTCGCAAATGATGATTTGTGTTTATTATTTCTCATCTACTTACACTAAAAGTGTCAAACAGAAAAATTGAAGATACTCTGGTGATATAATCGGAAACATTAATAATTAGTGTAGTTATATATAACATAATGCAATCAAAATATCAATGAATACTTTTTTATTTACTTGTAAAGAATTATTTATTACACAAATTAAGTTTAACAAATGTAGTCATTGGAATATAGTTTAACCAAATCGATTTCTTTAAATTAAGATATGTAATTGATTGTAAATTTGTAATCAGACTAAATTTTTGGGATTAAACAAAATAATTTTCATTCAAAATTAAATTGTTTCAATGAAATAAACGTAAATAAGATATTTTGAGTCCAAATAAATTATTTTCTCTGTGTAAAAGTATAAATAATGCATATTATCAATTTATATACACGAAAGAATTACCAAATTCGATATCTATGTATGAAAAATAAAAATTATTTTTTTATTCAAGATTCCCCCCCCCCCCCCCATAAAATATTTCTATTTTCTTAAATTTATCAAGTATAATATAATCAGCACACACAAAAGAACATATATAATATTTGACCACCAACACGAATACACATGTGGAATTTAAAACTGACAGATATTCATAATACAGTATCGTACTGAACGATGACTAATAATTATTTTGTATGTATTACAGGCATGATGATAGAGATTTAGATTGCGTATTTATTAAATTTTTAGATGTATTAACGGTTAGCTTTCAACTAATAAGTTGTTAACATTGATAATGACACAACTGGTGTCGAAACGTTTGTTTATTATGTTTATATGGAATAGACAAGTGACTGATTATTATAGAATGAATTTATAAACTATTTATTATACATGTCGCATATCGATCACAAGATACTTGGGTTTATTCTGTAATACATAGTTGAAATATACCTTGTTGGCTCGTAGCCTATTTCTATATATACTTAAAATTTTATATTTATTGAGCCATTTCATCATCAATCGTTTATAATATAATCACTTCAACTTGTAATATATATTCTTAATCTAAGATATTCTCCATGAACATTAATGTAGGTTTTCTCATAATGAAGGCAAATGTCGTCTTGATATGATCGAAGGCGCTCGCTATTAATCCGGGACGCTTCATGGCGCACTGTGCAACGATAATGTAATCGTCTAATACGCTCCCCCGGATGACGCGATGATTTCCACTGTCATGCTAATCCGCGTAGCCCGTAATTGCGCGTTTATGCGCACTCGAGAGCTGGATTGACCTCGAGCATTATGCGTCCAGGATGTGTCCGGAGTCTGTCATAGAGGGGAAGGAGGAATGGTAGGAATTATTTCCTCGTGGAAGAATAGAAGCGTACGTATGATGGATGGCGCCAGCGTGTTGTCACGTTGAGGGAATAGGTAGAGGCCGTCATGCTGGAGATTGAAATCCGCAAGTTTCTCCCGCTTTCCTTTTCATCTCGTTGAGGCGCGGAGTCGTCGCAGTCATTATGATTCAGCTGAAATCTTAATGGAGTATCGAGAATTGCGGTAGGATGTATATTACGAGCCTCACCAGCCTCGCATTACGCCCAATAAAGGGGGAGACTCCACCAATCGCGTATCTTTTTTTTTCCGGAAACGAAAGTCGCACCGGAGATTCGATGCTACGTCACGCGCGCTCACTTTACTGCCGCGATACTGCGAATACATCTCCATTATAACACTTCTATTTATTCGCGGAAGTTTCTGTATTCCTACGGTTCGTGATGTATATATTTAGGTTCATCATCGAGAAATCGTCTTTATCATTCTACCATCCGCGGATGAATCTCCTATTACGTGTGATATGCGTCGTGTTGCGCACGGACATTTACCTTTTTTCTTTATTTTATTTTTTTTTTTTTGATTAACTGATACAGTCGGTAGTGGCTGCGCGATGAATTGATTTACTCGTCTTACGCCGCGACTGCAGTGATAAATACCTATCACGCGCAAGTGTCCGCTATGTTGAGTACGGAGTTAGCCATAGCTAGCTGGTTTCCAGGTGGTACGCGTTGGATGAAGGTGGTGCAGGATGGGCTAGACGGGCTCCGAGATATGGTGTATACCTTCGGAGCGATACGTCATCCCTGACAAGCCGGCGTGCCGATAACCCCCCGTCTACGACAAACCCCGTGTGTGGCCTCACACCTCATCGCCGCAAGAGCCATCCATCATGTTTGAGTAATGTAGGGGAACGAGTTCGCGTTATTGCGAATGACCGACTCTGTCGCACGTGTCCTTTTACCGTTCTGTTTCTTCCCATGGATTATCTTCAAAAGATTTGTTCCGTTAACGCGATGAACTGATATCATCGTACTTTCACGATGGCTTGACATTGTCTATCGCGATTTTGCGATCTATAACTGGTTGAGCAAACGGAAAGCGAAAAAATTATGATACCTATATTTGAGGAAGTTATATAGGGGAGACCAGGGTCGGTTGTCACAATTTTTGCTTAGTAATTTTTAGAAAAAAATGGATGCATGATTTTGAAATATTACATACATTATAATATATACTTACATCCTTTAGGTATTAAAACAAATATTACTCTTAAATTCATCGTCGTACAAATAAGTAATTTACTTTTAAATCAAGTTTCGAAGATGTGATAGTTCTGTGTTCTTGGTTAATTGTCACACGTTCTAAGATTGGCAGTAGTATATTTGTCATGGATAACACGTATAAAATATACAATTTTTATTTTAATATTAGTTTTATTTTAGGAAATAATAGTAATTATATAATATTAATCTTAGTAATTTTTAGAAAAAAATGGATGCATGATTTTGAAATATTACATACATTATAATATATATTTACATCCTTTAGGTATTAAAACAAATATTATCTTAAATTCATCGTCGTACAAATAAGTAATTTACTTTTAAATCAAGTTTCGAAGATGTGATGTTCTTGGTTAATTGTGAACATATTTTCTAAAAATATGTCGAATTAAAGATATAATTAAAATTGATTGTCATCTAATTCCGACTTGTTTTGGACAATCTATCCTACATAGCTATTTTTAGTAAAAGAAATTGTATTCACAAACTTTGTCAGTATAATAATTAAATTATTGTAACAAAAATTTTCTAAGACACATCATTTTCTATAAATACAGGGATTTTCTATGAATATCGCAATTAATAATGTCAAAGACTAATGTTAGACAACAAAACAGATGATAAGAAAAATTTATTCACCAACTTTATTTTCTTAAAAAGTCGTTGTAAATAATATATACAATGCTTTTGGTGCAAACCATTTTACACAACAAATTAATATTATATCAACAATCTATAGTAAAAAGATGAGATTTCCCTGCCATGTACTGATGGAGTTGTAAGTATTTTGACAACCAACTTCATACGACAACCGGCTCCGGTTTCTAAATCGCGACATGTAAATTATATTAGCGTTTGGATAATTCTTTATTTCTTATTAGCCGAAAATGCTGGTTAGATACATTTTTATTGGATTAATAATATTTATTATTACCATACTTATTACAATATGAAATATTACGAATAAATATATATATAAATAAATGAACTTACCGTTATGGACGAGTAGCGCAGAATCACGAGCAACAGTGATAAGGTCACTATCAGTAAGAGTTTCGTCAGATGCGTTACCGGAAGTCGGTGTGTCGCTGAGACCGGCACCACTGCCGGGCATATGATACAGGGGATGTTGTTGTTGCTGTTGATATGCACGCTGTTTGTGTTGACTTGTGTTGTAATGATTATGATGGGATTGGTTGGTTTGATTATTTTGTGGATAGGCGCGACTACGTAAACTGGAGGTATTATCCTCACCCTCGCTGCCACTTAGACTGTAGGCCGGATAAAGCCGTCCCTTCCCTGAAACAAAGGTCGAATTGATTATAACTCTTTTTAATGCTCCTATAGTTAAAAGTTTTTTAGCGATAATAATAAATTTCTTTCTAGAAAACTACTTAAAAATGTTAATCAGGAATGATATTGACAATAAGTGTATATTAATTAATTTAATTAACGATTTCAAATTTGCTAAAGGACTAGTGACTAAAATTGTAAATTAGGAGATGTATTTATTATTTTGTTTCAAATAAAGTTTTTGTAAAATACATAACGAATGACGCATAAAATAGAGTAGTCATAAAATATATCACTGTTTAATTTTGGAGTTCGCTCTATCGTGGCACGAGATCTGACGGGGTTTGCGTTTGTCACAAAGAGAACAAAATACTGCTGATATCTCAGTGCAAGCTGTCGCAACATCAGAAAGAGATCGGCGCGACGGCCGAGGACGCAAGAACGTGCAACGCATTAGGAGACCCCGAGGATCTCGCAAGGAGGAGTTGGGAAAACAATCCTAGCGTCACGCACACTTGCACAAATAGTAAAGAAACGCGAGACTTCCGCATCCTTCGGCGCTGCACGGAGATCGTTCGAGGGGAAATATCCAGTGTGGACGTCTTCCTTTTGGATACTCGCGATTTGGCTCTGTGATTTCATCGCTCTTACCTTACTTAAAACGGTCCCGGGAGACTGACGTTTGCGTGACACCTTAATGTTTTTTTTTTCCGGGACAATAATAGCGCGTAAACGCGGAGCTTCCGACTATTGAAGGAGGCTAATCGGTCCCAAGAGCGTGCTCCTAGTTGTCATCGTTTTGGAGATATCTCAGGAATGTGGATCCCCCGTGATGCCAGATGTTGCGTGACGATGAGCGAGAAAGGAAACCGGTTTTCGGCGACGAGACAGAAAAGTGAGTAGAGAGAGAGAGAGAGAGAGAGAGAGAGAGAGATCGCGAACTGGTACGTTATGGAAAAAGCTGATGGCGCGACGATCCGCCTCGTTATGGCGATGCCTTCAGGATAAATCGCGCGAAAACTTTGATCGATGTCTCCCGCCTTTGACCTCTGACTCCTCGCGCGGCTTGTGCGGGGTCTAGCATCAGCGAGCCATGCTATCGGGACATCGATATCGCCAAGTCGGTTTTCTTCCCTGAATCGGCGTCTTTGACACGCCGCTGGCCGATCGATCGACCTGTCGCCAAGAGTTACGTCGCGCCGGAGAAAAAAGAGGCAGAGGGGTTCGTTAGCATCTCGTTGAGAAGCGAGGGATGAGAAATCGTGTTTCTCGATAACCCTGCGCTTCCTCCGCGCCGAGACAAAATGGTTTATGGGTGGACGTGTATCAGTGTCCCAACGACGGAATCGATTATCGACAAGTCCGTGGACGCTGAAGAGAGAGAGAGAGAGAGAGAGATCGGATGGAAATTGCAATTCGATTAACCCTTGATTTGATTGCGTGTCCGATATGAAGCGCACAGAGTTGTATCTTTTTAATTATTTTAAATTAAGCAGTACAGTTATAGTCTCCTTTTCGTTGAAGCATTCCGACGGATTGATAAATATCGTTTCTGTTTATCTTCGACGTTGCAATCATCGGCTCCTTTTTGTTGAGCCTCGGATTTGAATACAGTATGGCTTTACTGGAAGGCTCTTCTCTGCGTGATGGATGAAGTTACAGCGAAATGCAAATGTTATTAGTGGTATCTATCGGTAGCGCGTAATTCGACATTCAATTATGGTTTGCGCCGTATCGGACATAATGCATCGTACGCTCATCACGATCTATATACATATATGCCATACACCCTCGTGTGTACAAATAATCTTCTGACGCGGGATGGACGCGTATAAAGGAGATTCTATTCAGCAGTATTGTTAAAAGCAAAAAAGGTACCGTTACCAATCACGCGACGCAACGGTTAGAGGGGTCCATTATAATTAGGTTTGACCGTGCATACCGTTAATGGACACAATATACGGAGCCGCGTAACAACGCGACTCATCGCTAACCGAATTATTCTGTCACTCCCTCCGTCAATCTTGCATCCTCTTCCCCTCCCCTTCCATTTCCGTCGTTGCTTCCTCCTGTCCCATTGTTTACTTTTGTCCGTCCATCCTCCAAACGGCCCCAGGCTAAACAAACTTACGGGGTTTTAACGCTTAACAAGCTTAGTGATTTTGTAATTGGGTTACTGCAGTCTGCCGTGGATGGAAATCGTAAAAATTCTTATACCGACAGGTTTTGCAGCGAGCTCCTTTGTTGCTTGCGATTATGAGGTCCCCGACACGTTTTACTGCATATCGAATAAACCATACGTAAACACGTGCTTCCAACGGTAAACGACGTCCGCATATTACGTGCAACATTAAACCGCGCATCCGAGAGGATAACCCTGATATAAACCTTACACGCGTTTGCATCCTATAGGTTACAAGTTCCAAAGAATATCTTTCGGTCCTTTAAATTTTACAGCACACCGAATACCTATGTCGTAGATAAATTACACATTGAAAAAGTCATCGGTATTAAAAATGATACCTAGAAAGAAATTTTATTGCGAATTCGTCAAAAATAATTCTTTTTAAAATAGTTTTCCGAAATGAAAAAAAAAACGTAAAATACAGACACGTATATTACATTGATATAAAATAATATTATCGCATTTTCTTTAGAATATACGTAGGTGATTCCAGGCTTCTTTATTGAAAAGGATTGAGATCTGAGTCCATGTCGTAAACAAAATGTGAGAAGGAAAATCTAGACGCGGCGTGAAACGATCTCGTATACGTGGATACTTGCTTAAACATTTTCTATTTTCCTGCGATAAGTGAGATTCTCTTCGAATTTCACGTATCCATAATACATTATCGGGTTACCATAGGGGAGCATTGTGGCCACCATAGAGACTCCGTTCGTATATCGAGTACTCGTATGTGCGCGTGTGTAAAGCTTGTAAATTTCTTCGTAACCTTCAACGCGGGGATTAGGTTAACCCCTATAATATCACACCATAATTCCCATATTACCGCAACTAGACGTGTGTGTGTATTGTGTATACGTAGTAATCTATACTTCCATAAATACAATGTGCGATACATGGAATTTATTAGATACGTATGGCGAAGAAACGATAAGTAAAGATGTATGATTTTAAATATCTCACCAATTTGCGATTAATAAATAGTGAGAAAATATACTCCTTTTATTTTTTTTTCTCGGTGTATTCTATGAAATTTTCATATTACACATGATAAAATTGACGCGCTTCTGCGACATTTGACTTTGCAGCAGGTTCAATTTCGTGCACAATATGTCGTTTGTTTTATATATTTGAACATGCAGATGGATAATATTCCGCAATGAAATATCGTGACAAACGTTACGACGTTCCGACACGCACAGATAACGGACTTATAAAATATCTTTTGGTAACGAGAACAGTGAACTTTTCATTGTCGTGCTAGTTATGAGATACAGATACAGTACATTAATATACTTATGTATACTATAACTTTCCATCAGTTACAGTACATTAATATATTTGTATAGTATGAAATAGAGAGAGAGAAAGAGAGAAAGATGTATCACAACTATAACCGAAAGTATAAACGAGCAGATAACATACTTTCAAATCTAGGACAAGAGGTATATATATAATGTATATACATATAATCTGTTAGATTATTCACGTGCAATTTAACGACATGATTTTTAATTATGTATTTTGTTAGTCATTATTAATTCGTAACTGTAGCAGATTCACAACAGCGGATTTATTACTTAAAAATATAAATTTTTATGTTATCAACGAATTCAGGATTTGTAGCCTGCGTTATACGAGTCCGTTTATTAAATCTATCAAGTTATAACTAGTTTTTTTTGTGCATATTGATCTGTCATTTTATTAGTCAATTATTGATTTTCATCGCTTAAATAATATTGATTAGCTCTGCTAATTTTCTACCATATCTATAACATATTATTTTACTTATTATAACGGTTAATTATAACAAATATTTTATTAGTAGCAGATTTTAACTTTACATGAAAATTATTTAACTTCTTTTTAATATAAACAGTTAATTCGCGGAGAGGAATAAAATTGTGTGCGATTTTAATAAAGCAAGAAGAATGAGTTGCTGCACATTTCGTGATTTTAATTTCTCGTTTTATTAAAACCAGAAGAAAAATTTTTGATTTATTAAAACCACACAATTTTATTTCACTCAAAATATAAAAATTCAACGAAAAATAATAGCAATAAATTTATTTATATTTATAAATATTTTTCGATGAGAATAGAATAAAGCTCATTTATCAAACAGATGTTCGATATGCAATGATATCCTGCTATTCGTCGAAATTACAATAATTTAATATGCAAGGAACACAATATTCAGCGTTTGTATTTTACAATAAATGTTAAATGTAGATAACAGATCGGCTGGCACGCGGCTTTAATACTTATTTTTCGTATGTTGTGACATTGTCGACACGACGCTCAAATAAATGGGATACATTATCAATAGTATTATTCCTCGAAATGCGATCGCAACAAGTATCAAGAGAAAACGCCATCGCTTCTTACGAATAATTAGCAATCATACTACACGCGATTATTTAATTTGCACGATTAATGATCCGCTATTTACGAAACGCAGATATCTCGCGCGGTTGACTTATTTTAGAAATTCAAATGGTAGGAAATAGAAGTTATAAATTAGCGTTTCATAATGTTGACAATCAAATAATTATTTCTTTGGGAACAAATATATCTCGCGTTTGAACTTGTCGCCGATATAAATGTACTTGTGATTGTCTTTGATTTGAACAATTAAAGAAGTGAAAAGAGCCATCATAATATATCAGACGATATAATTTTTTTTTGCGTGATCTATCGTGTCTTCATTAATTTCATCTTGTCAATTATATCATATCGTATAGTAAAGTAAAAAGATCTTCGATGTCCAATTTTTTTACGATTTGTAGAACGTCACAGGTGCAGAACGGGTTGATTCCAA